GAGGAAGCAGTCAGAGCTCGTCTCCAAGACCTGACGGATGGTGCTAAAGGTATGACCATCAGTGATGACCTTGATAAGAGCGAAAAAGAGCGCATGGACATGTTCTACAAACTGGTCAAATGTCGTCGCGATGCTGGCCAACTTGACAACAATCACAAGGAGCTCGTAGCAGAGGCGGAGCGTCTCGAGATTAAGACCAAGGCACCATTGATCCTTGCCGAGCTGTTGTTCGATCAGGGAATCGCCGCACAAGCGAAGAAATATCGGGTGCTACTACTGCGCTTTACTCACGATGACATTAAAGCACAGAAATATTTGATCAGAGGAATCGAGCAAGTAATCGCGCTGCATAAGGATGCACTGATGCCGAAGGTTCCCGGAATCCTCAAGGTGAAAAAATAAATTTTTTTAGAATTAAGAAATATTTTAAGAAATTTTATTAGAGAATTCAATTAGAAAGTATTGATACGTACCGTAAGTATTAGATACTGCTATCACACAAATTATTAATTAGTTAAAATATTTGTGTACATTACAGTTATTTTACGATGCTGATATTCTAGAAGAAAAGGCATTTGATGAATGGTCAAACAAAGTCAGCAAGAAATATGTCTCAAAAGATCTGTCGCAGGAAATTCATGATCGAGCTGCACCATTTTTAACATGGTTGAAAGTTGCAGAGGAAGAGGAGTCTGAATCCGAGGAAGAAGACGACGATGTGGAGGTAATCTCATTGTTCATAAGTGCTTTTAAGAAAATCATTAATCCTTTAATTCAATTTTTTCATTATTTTGCTCAATTCTTCTATTAATTTATAATTAAATATACAATAGAAGTTTTCTTTTTTCAAAACAATCCTCATTAAATCTAATAAAATATTTGCCCTATAAAATGCTTTGAAAACTGTTCTTTTTTCTGCGTTATTTATTCTTTATAAACTATTTTTATATGTATTATATTTTTTTATAACATTGTGATATGAAAAGATATATCTGATATTAAAAATTTTCCATTTTAGATCGAATATGACGATAGAGCCAAGCAGGAATCTTTGAAACAACAGCAGCCGCCGGCCATACCGAAACCTGCCGCCGCTACGACCGTCGCTGCCGCCAACAATGATTCCGAGGATGATTTCGATATTGATGCCATTTAAAGCATACGCATACACCATATTACACGTATCATACACCCAACATATATATACACACACGCAACGCAACGGATGACAAGAAACACTGGTCCGAGCCGTAATATCTGAGAGATAATCATTTTCCTCTTGAACAGAATTATGCAAATGCAATCTCAAGTTATACGCAAAAATAGATATAGGATTTTCGTTGTTTTAGACTGACGAGAGCGACACAATTAAACAATGCTGTTTACATGAATGAAGAAAAAAAAAAGAAAAAGAAATTTTAATCGTTCCTAAGAGTTTAACGTGATTTATCTATATACAGTATATTCGCAATATTTTTAATTGTTTTAACGATGCATTTATTGAAAAGATAGTTATTTCTTTAATATTGATTGATTGTTGTGGAAACATTTTAATGGTGCGCGTATATCTTGAAATGCATCCCTTTAAAATAAAGAAGACATTCATAAAGCATTCATGAGCACCGGGAAATTGGCCTGCTAAAAACGTTCTTTATTGTATTATTCTAATTATTATTATTCAAATAAATATGGTTTATTGCAATGATCACCTGACGTCTCACTCTTTACACTTAACAGAAAAAGATTACAATTACAAATGTAGCGTTAATTTAATATTAATAATGATCAATGAACAATTTAAATTTTTATTGATTAATTAGATGTAACAGTTTCGATAATGAGTTATCGAGGATATCTATATACTACTTGAATAAGTTCGTTTTTCTTTTTAAAACAAGATAGATAAAACAGTAAATAATCGAAACATTTCGATGAGTTACAGAAACGTACTCATTATGAAAGTGAGTTACTGTAATCTAGTAAAGTATATCTATTTAATTCAATGTTCGCGAGCGTTATTTGTCCTTTAACATTTGAGAAACATCAAGGATAAAATTATTCCATGAGCGTTACAAGCGTCAAGTCGATCGCATCCATGGGTTGCATCAAAATAATCACAGAGTATGGACAAAAAATTTTTTTTAAGTTTCTGACAATATTAATCACCTTTTGTGATTGTTTTAACAATTATTATAATATTTATAGTTGAAAACATTTTAAACACTTTTTCATTAATCTCATTTTATTATTATTGAGCTAAGGTGTTTTATTTTTGGAAAATAGTGCTTATACTGTAGTATTGAGCTTTGCGCATGAAAGAATTTGAAATAGGAATAAATTTCAAATATTAAAGAAAAATAAACATCAGAAATAGAGATTAAATGTACCGCATAATGGAAATAAGATAAAATATATAAATATATCATATATATA